CAGGTGGCTGAATTTTACGGAGACTTGCCACGGTCTCCAACCCTCCTTCTTTCTCATCCGGGCTTGGGACTGGCCATGGCGGAGTTAAGTAAGTAACCTAACTTTACATAATTTGCCGTGTAAATCCGGTAGCGATGTTTAATTACGGGCGGAATCCGAAAGCTACCTCAGTACATCAGAGCGTTCTTTTATTTTATTTCGTGCGTGACGAACTTTTAATGCAATGATCCGGTGTTAGTCTGGCGGAAAAAGGTTTTATCATAAAGAAAATCGTCTTTTCAATGTTTGATATGTTGTATGTTGTAACCCATATGGACAGGTACTGTTCAGACGAAACGTAGAGTTGATAAAAGTTTGTTGTGTTCTGTCAGATTGTGACTGCGTCAAGAAATCCATCAATTTTTAAGGTGAATAATGCAGAATCAAGATGAGTTGCCGACAGAGATGGTATGCAGAAAAAGGGTTTTTGTAGGAAGCAAATCTGCTTCTTCCATTTCTGTGAGGAAATAGTCTGAAGATTGTATTTAAAGAACGCGATCACGGGTTTGACTGACGAATTGCTTAATTATTGCCCTCTAATATTCGTGGTGAAACTTGGGGCCGTTTTTCTTATCAGACGTTTAAATGAAGTAAATGTAAGTGCAATCTTATTTATTTTTATTTCAGAACAACGTTAAAAGCAAGTTCGCTGGATTGTGCCAGACGATACTGTCGAATAATAGTGACGTTGGTGCCGAATTATGCCGTTTCTGCAAGGTGTTTGTCGGAAAAGAATGTGTAACCATCTCTTCACAAAAAACAAGTATAGAAAAATGGAAGCTGGTTTTTAACAAGCGTTAAAAATTCTGTTTCTAGAGGCCCTCAATCGTTGTGAGATGTTGAAAGACTTTTCTAAGGATTCGTTTAAACAATTGTTGAAGAACATGTCAGCTACACCAACGGATACCGAGGAGAGCAGATGTTTCCGGCGGTTGCTGCTTTTGGCCGACCCTGAGATCGTCACCGCCTTGACCGAGGAGCAGATTCGCCTCATCTTCCAAAAAAATAGCCCTCCTGAATTCCGCCATTTGTCGAATCTCATCTCGCATTACGCCAAAATGTCCACTCTCGAAAAAGTGATCAGCTGCTTGCTGTCACAATTCAACGATAGGTATGTCGGTTCGATTTAGTTTATTTTGTTAAACATAAATTGAGACTATCATCTGCGAGCAGGAGTTCATTAACGTTTGGCGTTGAGCCCATTTCTATTTTCATTGGTGGGAGATGCAGTAGCTGAATATCCCCTGGAAGCAACTCGATACTGTATCCTATGATGACGTAGTGCTGTGCAGCGAAAGTAGTGAAACAGAAGTCGAGGCATTTAGATCATCCCTTCAGAAATAATTACTTCTCCTGCATCGACAGTTTGAAAGAACAAAGGGAAAGTCAATAAATCAGTCAAAATGCGGCGAGTATACTTTCTCAAACCCAAGAATTCGAATTTTTGGTTTTATTCGCATGGACAAAAGAGAAATGGACAGTGAATTAAAAAATCTTTGGAGAAATGCTGGCTCAGATAAAGAGGTACGCGAGGTATTGTACGTTGCGAAGATTGTTTATGAAGCAAAATGGAAAGGGGTACCACGTGCTAATAATCTGATACTTATTTACAAAGCTGAATGTTTGTCTGCCATGAAGACACACGAGAAGCAGCGACAGATGAATTGCGTGAAATGCGAATGTGTCATGCTGGAAAAAGCGACCCCATCCGGAATATTTGCATAATAGCCAATTCAGATGTAGATTCAGATGTACTTAATTTCAAGAAAACTTATTGACCAAAGAATCAATTTCTTCGGTCGTATGAAAAGAAAATTTGACGGCGCGATGGAAGTTTGGTTGAAACAGTGAAATGTCAAGGACGATAAGAAAAGGGATTATCAAAGAAACGTCAGCGCGATATCTTAGGTAACAATTTGAAACTGTGATGAATGACCAAAGATTTGACCAAATGCCAAAAGTGGAGTGGAGGCCGTTGGCGCGTTCATCGTGCCCTGTTAAATTGCCATGCTAGGAAAAAGAGGACATATACTGAGACTGTTACTCACCAAAGTTAGTTGAAATATTGCCTTTCGTTTGTAATTGAAATCTACACCCTGAGCACCACTGGTGAGTCTCACTTTATTTACATTCTCAGAGAATGAAAAAATTCCAGAAGATATTGTTAGGCAAACATATAATAGGCTGGTACTAAGAAAGTTAATTAAATATGATGCTGTTAGAAAATTTATTACTTAAATGAAATCAGTTGAGAATGGTGCTTTGCTGTAAAAGATAAAAGAAATATACGCGGAAAGCAAACAATAACTGTATACTTTAAAAGTAGCATAGAAAATGAAAGAACTTGCGAAACAGGTGATTATCATATATAGTTTTTTGGTGCTTCGAGTAGGTTGTCCAGCGCTACTGATAGATTCGATTATGTTTCTACGCATTGTACATGTGATACCGTCTAACCGTCGTCACCCTTTTAAAAGTTCTCCTAGATCTTATAGGCAAGAGGTTTCCTATTCAGGAGAATAACATGATGGATCAGTGTAAATCGTCAAGTGACGCTTGAAAATGATGCTAATAATCTGTCCTTACCTCCGATAGTCAGATGTTAAACGTCTTTGAAGGAATTGTTCAGAATGTCCGGCCAACAGGTGCGCTAGTCACGATGGATTATGGTCGTCACGTCACCTGGTCTATGTCTTTCCTCAGAATGTTTGTCCGATGTTAACAAGTGTCATTTTGGAAAACGTTTTCGTGCAGCCGTTATTCTTAAATTGTAGCAGCGCACAGCGGGACAACGTTGTTCATATTGATCAGTGCAGATTCGATAATTTGGTTAACTTCTTACTAGCATGAGTTAACAAACGAGGCGAATATGTCAGATGTACATGGACCATTGTTTTGACAAACGTCTGCTAACCATTCAATGACAGTTCAATAATATTCGCTAGTATTTTTTTTGAAATCGACGTACAGGTATTTGGTATCAAAGGATGGTCGTAAGGCCATCAAAATATCACGGAAATGCTGTTGCCATCATTAGCGAAATAGCAGTTGTAAGGTAAGTCAGAATTGTTGTGCTTCGCCGCATGTACTTCAACCTATTCTTGTCACTCTGCTGTACTTGTCTTAATATGTTTTTCTAGCATCAGTTTTTCCTTTCATGCTTCACCTTATTTTGTTATTCTTTCAAAAGTTTCTGCAGGTTTTGGAACACAATGTGAATGGCGTTGTTTCCTTTTCGGTATGCTTAGAGAACCGATCTTAATATGGAAAATTTTTTCCGCTATTCAATGAAAACCAGCACTTCTTGCCTGTAAAAATGAACAGCTATCCGTGGTGCTGTTAATATATCTGATTCTAAGGTATCTGCAAAATTACAACACAGTTAATTGCCTGATTTGTTTTGATTTTGGTACTTGGTGCAACTAGCAATTTTTGTCTGTTCTTCAGGTTCGATGAAAAACAGGTTGTGAACTTTCTGTGCAGTGCCTTCTGCGTGTCTCGTCTGTGTCCCAATGCGGATTGCGGCAGTTCCACTGCTTTTCTCGTCGAAGATCCATTCGAGCTATCGGTTCATCAGCTGATGGTGCTCGCGCGTTACATGCTGCAGGAATTTAAGTGTGCGTGTAGTGAGGAAAGTGGTACTTTAAACCGCAGCTCAAACTCTCAAATATCCATGGGCGGTAAAGCTGCTTTGACTTCCCCGTTGACCAACACTGCGGCAAGTTTGGTCATCAGTCGGTACGCACTGAAAGACCGAATGGACTTTTTCCTTCTTTGTTGTGCGAGTGATCATCGATTAAAGATTATCGTCAAATGGATATATGACGAGTGGAAAAATTCATCGACGGACAGGTTTCTTTCTTGAAGGTTTTGCACTTGTTTTGATGGCCAATTTCAGATCCAACTTGGAACAGTTTCTGACTGAGATCTATTTCAAAAGGCCGGCGACAATGAAGTGGTTGGAAAATGTCGACTTCTTACACCATGTCGAAGGCGTACATTCTCAAGAAAGCAAGGTATAAACGGTTTTTACATTAAATGATTTGTAGCGAAAACGAAATTGGCCATTCATGTCATCGCCAAGACTGTCTACTTGACTAGCAAACATAAACAAAATTGTTGAGCACGTCAAATGATAATTTTTGACTAGTCGAGTATCCATTTCCGTTTCGCTTCACTTCACTGAATCCAATTGTAGTATTTCTGATACGGTCGTTATTATTAAATTATATCTGCTTCGACCCTGCTCCATAAACAACATGCCTTATTTTTTGAAGGCAGCATTGAAAGTTCTACGATTAATTTGGCACGTAGCCAACTGTTTAATCGTTCCCATCTAACGTTGTTCATTTGTATTTTTCAAAAGAAGAGAAACAGAATATCTTGGAAGGGACTTTAATCCACTATCTTGATCTCGAATCTGGTTATGTGACCGTTGTACTAACGCAGATCATTACAGTATTGTTCCAGTGTTGCTATTTTCAAAATCTTTCCACTTTAGCTGTAAAACTATCCTCCACGTAAGTGCCGTGTATCTGTTTCCTCATAAATTTCACGGTGTAAATATTATCTATAAAAACCGTCGAAGTAGAATTGTCTGTTAGCGAAATGAATGTTGACTAGGTATTATTTGTAATGCACTTGAAATAATGAATTCACAAAGTATATGCAGTAGAAGCGTCGCCATGGAAAATAGATCGCATTCCATTGAATAGAACGAGAATTGCGTTTCTGTTCCCTCCTTCATCATATGGAGTTAATGAGGCATAAATAACATATTATTCTAGCCGTCTGAACTAGTTTTCTTTTGATATTATTACAAGACCTCCATTGCATGGAAGGCTAAAATAATTCACATCTCGTAAAGGACAAATCCAGTACTTCGAATGTCCCGAGATATCTTATATTGTCTTACAGGCAGTGAAAGAGGAATTATTCTAGTATTTCAAATGTCAGCCTCTTTAAAACCTCCGCAGTTGGAGGCTATTGATGGCGCTCTTCATTTTTAAGCCTACTGTGCAAGTTTTCTTCCGTTGCATAATAGCCGATAAATGTTAAGGCAACTCGCTGAGATAGAATATATTTTGCCCGCCACTCGCCAACGATATCTTTCCACTAACCCACCCCCGTAAAAAAATAGTGCACCACTTCTGTGAATTCGTTAGGTTGGATGAAAGTTGTGAAACAGTGGCAGTAATTCATTATGGTTTGCAACCCGAATGAATTGCCGAACAGCCACTCGCCAAGGAGCGCTAACAGAAATGTGGTAACCAAGAAAATAGGTGCGGGCTACTTCATTAACCTGAACAACATCTCCAACTCGGTAAACCGTCATCGAGATCTTCGTTATGAGCCATAATTCAAAAATGATATCGCACAACAGCCGTCAGTATCACTGAAGCAGAGAATATCAAGGAGGACGTCACTGGAATATGCCAGACCAACATTTTACCGAATTTGTTACGCAATGTGACAGTGGTTACCAAGTGTTCGAGAAGGCCTTCAAAATCTGAGTTAGGACCTGCGGCATTGGGTTTACAGTAAATCGAAATGATGTAGTATTAGTAGTGATCTGTGATGTTATATCACCTCTTATAAGCACATAGCAATTCTGAACAAATATCCAGTTCTATAAATGGACGAAAGACGAAACAGTGAAAATATTCCAAGCTTGCAAAGATTGAGGAACTGGAGAACGACTGCTTACATATTGCCAAAGGGCATTTCAACGCGTTCGTTGAGAAAGGAATGAGAGAAAATGAGCTATTTATCGACAGATGTGAAATAGACGAATAAAACGAACGTGAAAGCTGCTTCGCAGTTTTTGCCCTGGGAATCAACGGCCTCCGCGTAATGAACACCAATTGTTAGAAAGCCCCAAACGACTGTGGACATGTAGAAGACTAGCTGGAAGTCGTTGAACCAAATCGACTGTGCTAACGGTAATGAAACGAATAATATCAGGCGTACTGATTATAGACAAGAACATTGCTTGTACTGTGTCAAACCATATACTTTTACGTTCCAAGTTACGACTGATGTTGTAAAGGTTGAACGGATCAAGGGAGCATGGCGATCATACTTATGTGGAGAACTGCGATTGACACATAGGCTTTCGCTAAGAAGCTGCTTTCTTTGAATCTTGAAATGAACAACAGCTGTCATAGAGTATATTTTCAGAACAAGAGCTGTAAAAACTGATTTTTTGAAGGCTCTTCTCCAGACGGTTTTGATGATAACTAAAATGAGCCTATTCCAAGGACGATAAATGACGCTTTCTACCTGAAGGCTCTATTCTAAATGAACTGTTTAGAATACTTCTTTTGGGATTCAGCTACTTTCATTTCGGTGGTAAGCTATACGGTTTGTACGAAACAGTCATAGAGAATTTTTTAATTTCTGATATTTTTCACATTTGCTCTTTGAGCACTTGGACACCTGGCTTTTGTTACCGATGAAACATAATGTAGGCAAATACGTGTATAACGGTATTCTTCAAACGCACATGAAAAACATTTTGGCTGCTGTTTGGGAATATTTAATTGACCTGTTTCCGAACAAAGTGTTATAATTTTGACTATAGAAAAAGAAGCAAATGAGAGTTGACTGTGTTTGGGAATGCTGCTGAACTGGAGCTAACAGATCTCCTCGATCGCAGTTTGCGGAAACAAACGTCATGTTTTAGGTTCTCTCCAACGACCGTCGAAACAACTGTTCCCAGCGCACTTCTGTGAAAAAGATCGAAAATTGCCATTCTCTTTGACAGTTAAGTGAAAGCTTATGAACCCTACTATATAGCTTACTTCGCAAGCAATATAGTCAAACAATCGTTTCTTATTCGCTACCCTGTTATATGAGCCATGCGTTCTTTTATGTTAGCGACATGTTGACATAAATTTTCATGTGGTCATTCAGGACTAATGACAAACGTAGTTTCATCAGTGCTATCGGTTTAAGATGACGACCTGACATTAAACAGTGGTTCTTTTGCTGTCATTCTGAACACGGACTGAATGTGATCTTAAACTTTATCCTGGTAGAATGAAATTTGTATGCCTTTTTGCCATGTGTAACATCTCTGGTAATGCTGTTGGTTCCCTCATATAAAGCTGTTATATTATCAACAGTATGTGACGGTCCTGTTTTGCACTTGTCTGTTCATTAATGTCTAACAGTCGAACTCTGTGTCCTGAAGATTCTAGTGTTAAAACTGTTTCTGGCTTTGATCCATTTTTCATTTTCGATTATAGTTTCAATTTGTAGGTTGATAACGTACTCCATCAACTTCTCTGTGATCTTGAAGACAAAGCAAAGGAAGCCTACAGCGAACAGAGAATGAACCGCATTAAATGTGTCTTGTACAAGTTCGCCGCTTTTCACCCTACTCTTTTCGTCAGGTAAGTTTAAGTTTTTTGCGTTTTTTTGACTGGTTTTCTGACATAGTATTCTCAATTGAACATAAATAACGAAGCCGAAGTTCCAGTGTTTGGTTTGTGCGTGGATGGTCATATTTAAAACAGTACAAAACTGTTTATTTGTACACTACACAAATTTGGTTGGTTGGATAATAGACGCCATTATTCCTCCAGCTTTCTTGAAATTCAAGAGATGGGTCTTTCTTTCGCACCGGCTCGTATGTTTAAGGCCAGAAGAAGTGAAAACACTTCTTTTCGTATAGATAGCAATATTTCGTTATTTTTTATGAATAAAGTCATAATCAGCCATTCTACCCATTCCTTCACAACACCATATCCTTTTTGAGCTTCTCATATGCGATCTCGCTGATCGAGTTGATTGCTTCCTGCTTGGTTAGACTTTGGTCGAAATTTGAGCCACTGCTCGCAATTTTATATTATTCTTTAAGACATCTTATCTGCTTTGTTTTATCCCTTTTTTTCGTTCCTTGCAAAGTCAATGTTCAGACCATCCTTTCAATGTACTCATCGGTAATTGGCGCTACATATATGATACCGCTTATAATGGTCTTCTAGATGTGATCCAACTTGTTCACACTACGTATCCGTCTTAGCTTTTGCATTTCTACGGAGTTTAGTCGTTGCACTTGTCTGTTCAGGATGGCCACACTTTTGGCTCCGTACAGAAGTTCCGATCTTACTATCGTTCTATACACTTATCTGCTTAGAGTAATGACTTTTTCCTTATAAAACTTCATGTCACTCATCCTTCCTTTTACATTGCGTCTTTTTTGGACAGATTTCTTTATTCGTTGTTGATTTTTCCGTTGTTTTGTATAATGGAATTCAGATAAGTTCTGCCAGAATTGCTTATCTTTAAGAAATCAAGAAAACAGGCTTCTCTCATTGGTTGCCGTTTGTTGCACAGCTGTCATGTCTTCATCCGCTGTTAACTTTGTTGACAGGTGGATTTTGCTCCTACTCTATGATCCTTTTATTTCTTGGACCTTTCAAAGCGCTTGAAAACGATTTTCCAGTTTAGAACGTTTCAACTGCACAGTTTTTTTCTGCTCATCTAATTGTCCAGTGACCAGATGATTAGGTGACTGGTCTAGCTCTGGCAAAGTCGGTACGGTGACCGTTGGTGATAAGGTCTTCTGTGAGCATAGATGTTACTTCCTTAGCCAGCTTGAAGCCTAAGCTCCGATCTCTGCTTACAGAAGTGAAAGGTCGTATTCTGCCAGAACAGGCGGTGGGCGATATTGACGAGATTAAAACTGTTCATACTGTAGCTCACAGTAAGTCGACCAAGCATCACAACCGCTTTGAGTTTGAGTTACAGACCATGAATAAAACAGTAATCTGTTAGCGACGGACGGTGAAACTCTCACGGAATTAGAAGTGACACTCATGCCCCACATCACCGAAACTCTACCCGTCATTTTACTGACTTTGTCAGTGCAAAAGCTATCACCGGGTCAGCTGAATAATTTGAATGGTTAGTACTTCTACTGATCAGAAC